AGCCGGCCTGCCTCTCCCTGAACCCAGGGCTCCTGCTCTTTGCCTTCGCTAGCCGCCAGGGCCCCTCTGCCCAGCACTGTCCAGTGAGGGGCGTAAAGGGTTCACTGGTCACCTGGTGACCCCTCAACAGGTAATGCTTCCTGAGCCGGTTAAGCAGTAACAGGGAAGGACTGGAGCAGCTCCCCACCTGTTGGGGCAGAGGGCTAGTCCAGCCCCGCAGGGAGCCCACCGCAGACATGGGGTGCTCCGGCGGGGGGAAGCTGGGAGCCAGCAGTGCGGGGAGGGGGGCGGGGGCCCTAGCTCGGGATCCCATGTTAGCCGGTTAACCGGCTAACCACTAGGCACACCTAACATTTCCCTGGGATTTCCCATCCCTAGCTCCAGTTCACACTGCCGTGGCCGGCAGGCTGCCCGCCATGCTGCTCCGGAGGTTTCAGAGCGGCGTGCCCCACGAGGCTCCGGGGAACAGCAATCTCGTCTGAAATACGATCTGCAGTGTGCGAGCGTGAGGCCGGCACGCCCTGGTCAGGAATCCCCAGGCACCTTCCCTACGCCCCAAGAGCGTCTGCCCATCAACTGACATTCAAGTTACTGCTCCTGCCTTTCTGCCCGGACACCGGACTCCACGTTCAGCCCCACTCAGCCGAACAGACCAGGGTGATGGTCTCCGGCTGTGCCCTGGCAGACGGTACATGCCAGGACCAGAGTAGCAGGTGGCTTAGGGGTAGACGCGGAGCTGGCGGCTTTTCTGCCAGCCAGCCGTGTCGCAGGGCAGGGTCGTGGCGTAGCGGCAGCAACGTGCCACCTTCCCCCTGGCCCCCAAACAGGAGATTAACAGTCAGGCGAGAAAGGACCCTTGGGAGCTGATCTCCTGCACTTCACCGGGGGAGGCCTGGGTCGGCGGGTGCTCCTGGCCTGATGAGGCTTCGCTCTGGCCCGCACCCCCCGTCAGGCACGGCACGCTGAAGTGAGCGTCGGAGAGCCCCTAGCCCCGCAACAGGACAGCCCCCGCCTAGCCCCCAGTCCCTGCCCAGGCTGGCTTTGGGCCGGGCAGGATCCTGCAGCAGGAAGTGCCGAGGCACCCTGAAGAGACGCAGTCAGCTCAGCTGAGCTAAGCTCCCATGACAGCCGGTGTTTGCCAAAGGGGAGGCGGGCTGTTTGCTCGGCGTGAGGACAGGGCTAACCCTTCCTTCCTGCCGAGCCCGCCCTGGGGCGTGTGCGAGCAAGCGCGGCTCTGCTGCCAGGGCAAGAGGGGAGCCCAACGGCCGCATCACCCCCGGGGTCCTCCCACAAGCCCTCTGCTCTCGGGAGCCGTGTGTTCAGGAGCTGGGGGTCCCCGCTCCGCAGGGCTCTGACCCTCTCGGTTTGAACAGGGAAACTCCTCCAACGCGGCCCGGCTCTCCCTCCTGGCTGGCCGCTGCCCGGTCTCCTCCGAAGGGGGCTAGAAAGCAGCGTTACTCCCCCCGAAGCAGTGGCGGCCGCCAAAGGCCCGCTGATTGGGCGCTGCGCTCGGCCCCCCGCTCATTCGTAAAAGGAGGAAGATCCCAAACTGGCAATCTCACTGCCCTGCCCTCCCGGGCACACTGCAGAGTTGGGAGCAGGTGGGTGGCGGCTCCGCGGATCAGGGAGGCGAGGGACATGACGGGCGGTCCCAGCTCGGCCCCCCAGGCCCACCACCCAGTAACAGCCGAGCTGATTGGGCGCTGCGCTCGGCCCCCCGCTCATTCGTAAAAGGAGGAAGATCCCAAACTGGCAATCTCACTGCCCTGCCCTCCCGGGCACACTGCAGAGTTGGGAGCAGGTGGGTGGCGGCTCCGCGGATCAGGGAGGCGAGGGACATGACGGGCGGTCCCAGCTCGGCCCCCCAGGCCCACCACCCAGTAACAGCCGAGCTTACAGAAGGCAGAGCTGCCTCTGCCTTACTCGCCAGGCTAAACCACAGAGTAGCCACCCCCCCGCAGGTTCTGCCCTGGCAGGAGCATCTCCGCAGCCAGGTTCCACCCCATTGCACGAGCCCCACGGGCCCGAGGGGTTTCCCTTTGCAGTGCACGCGCCACAATCCAGCAGACAATTCTCCTGCCTCATCCCAAGCCTCCAGCCGTTCCTATGGGCTCGCAGCCCTATGGGAGCCGGACCAGACACCCGGGCTGGGTTCTACCCAGCATGCACTGGGCCCGACGTGCCCAGAGAGGGGCGTGTCTGTGGTGAGTAACAGTGCACAGAAGGCAGGATCCCCTCGCACCAGGGCCAGAGGAGGAAAACGCCCCAATTGCGCAGGAAGCTCAAGTTACAGCCAGGGCCCACATGAGCACGGAGGGGTGTGGCCTGGTGACGCCAAGGCCCCTTGTGGCTGTGCATGAAACGCCCAAGTGCTCGGGGAGCCTCTGGACTAGCTCTCCACACACCCAGGCGAGAGCCCGGGTCCCCACGAGGCCAGAGCAACCAAGGACAAGCTGGAAGCACCACTGGTACCCTTCGAGAGATGGGAAACCGAGTCAGGGTAATCCACGTACTTGGGCACACCAAGCCTCCCCGTTCCGAGTCCAGTACTTGGACCACACGCCCATCGTTCCTGGTTCGGCAGCATGGCCTGGTCCCACGCAGAACTAGCCGCCAAGCCCAACACAGGCGCAGCCACCGGGACAGGGGCCTCCTTCCCCGTTGTACGGCCCAAGGCCCGGTTCCGACTCCATCCCCACTCTCAGGGCGGACGCCGTAGGGGTGGGATGGAGCAGGGCTGACGCCAATGTTGGGCGCCAGGGGTCACATCTATTTCACAGCTATGGCCAGCGGGGAGCTACGTTTATTTCTCTTCTCCAAGCCCCTGCCTCAGAAGCAGGGTGGCAGAGAGCTCAGGGAGAGCAGGTCAGCCTCTGTTCCAATGAGCCCACGCCTAGGCCTGAGCTGGGCAGGACACAGCCGCGTGAGCCAAGTGCATGAAGGCTCCCAGGCCCTCATGCCGGGCTGACGCCAGGTAGAGAAGAGATGGACACACATGAACAGGAGGGGGCTGGCGCAGTGGCCCTAGGGCTCTGCGGGCGTCACAGCTCGCAAACAAGGGGCGTTTGAGCCCGGAAGTTGGACAAACTTGGTGCATTGCGGTCAGGCTGGGGACATATCGAAAGGCCTCTGCTTCGCTCCACGCTCCTCCAGGTTCCCAGGCCAAGGGTGGAGCCATCCAGCTGCCAACATGCCAGTGAGCACTCTGGAGCCTCCCCCCAACGTGAAGCCTGCCTACCCCCTGCTATTTCTCACCCGATCCAGAGCCCAATGGCACTGCCTGGCGGCAGCACAGTAACAAAAAGCAGCCCAGCTCGCCTGAGAAAAACCAAAGCAAGAGGAATAGTTATAGAAATGTAGCCCTGTTAGTCTGGCTTTAGAATGCTTAAATTCGACACTTTACACCTAAGTTTGAATAAAGACGCTAATTATCTTACCCATTACAAAGATAGCTTCCCCAATTATCACCTCTAATATCATTAGCTCACAGACATTTACCTCCCCACCCCATTCTCCTTCTGTTCTGAAATTTGATTTGTCCTTTTCATATGTGTTCATTTTTTGATTGTATCCTTTGGTATTTATGGTTGTGATCTGAGGAAGTGGGTCTGGCCCATGAAAGCTCATCACCTAATAAAC